TGAAATATGCAAAAAGTGGATGATGAAGTGGAAAGACATTCTTTATTCTTGGAATGATTCAATATTATAAAGACGTCAGTTCTATTTATATATTCACTGCAATACCAATAAAAAATACCAACAAGCTATTTTATGGCATTAAAGTGGTATTAAAGTTCATATTTTTAAAATGCAAGAACAGCCAGAAAAATACTTAAAAAGAAAAAAGACCCTGAGGAAAGAATAGCTGTTTCAGACTTTATACCCATTATAAAGCCTTTAATTAAAATAATGCACCCAAATAGAGACTCATGAAACATAAAAGCCCAAAATTACACCCAAATACACATGGAAGTACAGTAGAACAGGCGTCATCTCAAATCACCGGGGCATGAACTTTTAAAATGTGGTGCTAGGAAACCTGAGTAGTCACTTGGAAGATAAATTTAGATCCCTATTTCAAGCTATACATTTGAGATCTAGAACTGTAAAATATGAAACCATGCAAGTACTAGAAAAAAATCATGGGATTCCCCTTTAATCTTGGTAAGAAAAGGGTATATATAAAACTATAGTTTAAAATCCAGAGCAATAAAAAGTTTGATGAACTGAATACATGAAAATAGATAATTCTTATACAACAAAAGATCATAAACAAACAAGAACAAATGAGAAAATGGGGGAAGATATCTGCTTCATATGCCACAGACAAGGGCTAATATTCCTCATATATTTAGAACTCTTACAAACTGAGGCACAAAAGGACAAAAGCCTGATAGAAAAATGGGGAAAATTAACTGAAAAATGGACATAAAGTGGTCTTAAACATGAAAAATGTAACAACTCACACATACTTAGAGATTTGAAAATTAAAACACCAGTGAGATACTACTACTGTAGCAGATTGGCAAAAACTTAAAAATACAAGAATGCAACTTATTGCTGGGCTTGGTGGTGCACACCTGTAATACCAGAGTCTCGAGAGGCTGAGACGGGGGATCTCGAGTTCACAGCCAGCCTCAGCGAAAAGTGAGGTGCTAAACAACTCAGTGAGACCCTGTCTCTAAATAAAATACAAAAAACAGGGCTGAGGACATGGCTCAGAAGTCAAGTGCTCCTGAGTTCAATCCCTGGTATGAACCTCCCCTCCCCAAAAGAATTGAACTTACTGACAAGACTGTAAGGGAACAGGCATTCTCACATCCTGCTAGTGGGATGCAAACTGGTAAACCCTCTGAAGGAAAAATTGGCAATATCTAACAAACCACACATGCACTTACCTTTTTTTTTTTAATTGTAGATGGACACAGTACTTTTATTTTTTAATTTATTTTTATGTGATGCTAGGAAGTGCTCTACCACTGAGAACAACCGCAGCCCTGCACTTATCTTTTGACTTGAAGGAAATACATATGCATAAAGCTAGTAACTGTACAATTCTGGAAACAACCTAAAGCCAGGGGAGTGAGTAAATAAATTATGGTACACACACAGCTGTGAATAAAAGAGAACAGTCTCTGTGAAATGATAAGGAGTAACATCTAGGTCAAACTGTTAGATGAAAAACATGAAGTGCAAAAGAGTACCTATAGTATATCTTCATGTAAAAGAGAAGGGGAAAGGAAGATGAACATGTACCTGCTCATTAGTGCAAAAGAAATACAGGAAGGATAAATGAAATACAAAAAAGACTGGTTACCTATAATATAAGGAGTGGTTCAGAATGCATAGAAAGAAGGCAGGGAATGGGACTGGGGTAGTAGGGATGAGAAATAAATGGCAATTCTTTATGTATATCCTTTTATATATCTTGGACACTCAGAATCATAGTAATACTTAACAAACTCCCCAAATAAACAAAATGTAAAACAATCATGTTTGTGATAGAAACCTAAAACGGCATATCAATACCAACAGTTGAACCTGACCTCACTAACACAACTGTACTGAAGGGGGTAAGAACTAACTTACTTAACTTTAGAAAAAACGCAATTTTGACAGGCTAGAATAAAGCTAATGATAAACTATACATATTATATTTTACTCTAGTTAGTAAATGTATCTTACACAGAGCTATGCTTTAGCAATTCTGAAACTACTTTATGTCCATACCAGACTTGAAAAAAATAAATATCATAAATAATGAGAGCTGAGTTTCTCATTATTGGAGGAAAAAGTCACAAATAAGGAGTGTGATGTTGGGTGGGATCCAAGCTATCAGTCTAAACACATGATGTTCAATATATGTACAGAAATATAACATGTATATATAAATGATTAGTATGCATTATAATTATTAGTATATACATATGTATCCTACATATCATGTATTTCCTAGCTTTGACTGCTGAGAGAAGCAAGAAGCAATGCCACTCCAATAAATAGAGTCATATCCCCAGCCCTATTCTGTATTTTATTTAGAGACAGGGTCTCACTGAGTTATTTAGCTCCTCACTTTTTGCTGGGTCTGGCTTTGAAATTGAGATACTCCTGCCTCAGCCTCCAGAGCTGCTGGAATTACAGGCATGTGCCACCACGCCCATCAGAAAATGGCCATATTTTTACAGAAGAATTCCAAAAGAAAAGAAGAAAAACACCATCAGTCAAATACCAGAATAACAACTGTTTCAGACACGATCCACTGATCGATGATAAATTTAGTGGGCATAAGTTTGAGAAGAAATAGGATTTGCCAAGGAAAGGCAGTAGAGAAACCAAGCATCTATTACCATAGCAGTAACTGAAGTTAACATAACCAATTGTAAGACAGACTAATATTATGAACCCCTTAAAATGATGCACTGAGAAGGACACATCACTTTTGTAATATTCTTGCCCAAAATGCATAACCTAATTCTAATCAAGAGAAAATATTAGATAAATACAAATTGAGGAATATTCTAGAAAATAACTGATGAGCTCTCTTTGAAAGTGTCAATCAAGATCATGAAAGACAAGAAAAGACTGAGGCACTATAACAGAAACTAAATCATAATTGGGATACTGGAATAAAAAATGTTTTCAACATTAATAGAAAAATTTTTGAAATACAAGTAAGGTTTACAGTTTAAATAACAATGTTAATTTCCTGATTTTAACAATGGTCATATGATTATATTAGAAGTTAATATTATGGAAACCTAGATGAAGGGTATACAGGAATTCTGCACTGCTTTTTGCAAATTTTCTGTAGAGTCTAAAATTATTTCAAAATAAAAAGGTTTTTTATTGTTAATAATTATAAAGTGTTAATATGTTGGAATCAAAACAGAAAGTAGCTTTTCCTTGAAGAGGTTTTGCAGTGTCTCTCTCACTTCCTCGCTCTCACATCCACACAACCCATGTAAGTAATAATGGTCATTCCTTTAATGAGGAATATTTGTTTCACTCTGAATATCAGAGTTTGTCTTCTATTTTTGTGCCTTTCTATATTTACAATAACTTTTTTATTTAATGTGCACTTGTAGTCATCTTTCTGAAAACATTTAAATTTAAAATGGCAATTAAATAACTAAATACACAACAATGAAAGTCACTCAGTAGGTGACAAAATTAACAACTAAGGACTAAGTGCACTCAAACACAGGCCATGACAACTACATTACTAGTGGTTGTAAGATGCTGCTTAATTTCAAGATGTTAAAATGTAAAATAATAATAATAAATCTTAGAATTGATTAAATTAGTTTAATACTGTCACAACAAGAATGCCATGGCCTTGAATATTCCATTACTATAATAATTCTGAGACTCAAATTTTAACATTATGATTTATAGCCTCTCTACAGTATATCAACAATATAAGTTTTTCTATAAATGTGTAAAAGAATTTAAGAATTTGAAAAACTTTTTGATAAATTTACAAAATATCCACCTAAGCCATATTTCCTTAACACGGCTTGCCCAGGTAAAGTATACATATGTAATAGAGAAAAGACAGTGAAAGGGAGAAGATAAGTCTCTTCTATTTCTCCAGGAGGGTTTCTTAAAAGGGAGATCCCATTATCTCCTTGCTCTCCAAAAAAAAATGATACATGTCTTCAAAAGTTTGAAAACAAGGTACTCAGTGACATATATGAATTTGTATACAAAAGGAAGAGAGATAAATCTAAATTAAAAACTACTACCTCCTGGAATAAAAACTATTGAAAATGAGAAAAGTATCTCTTTTTTTTTTTTTTTTAAAGAAGGCACTTTGTTTTTATTTTTATGTGGTGACAAGGATCAAAGCCAGTGCCTCAACATGCTAGGCAAGTGCTCTCCCACTGAGCCACAGCCCCAGCCCCTCCTAAGTGACTATTTTTTAAACTTTTTTCCAAGGCTCTAGTGAAAATGTGAAATTTCCTTGAGGTCTTGTTTCCCTAAATAATTTATGTGCATTTTGCATCCTACTCCACAACTATATTTGTTTAGGCATAAAATGAATTGTAGAGCTCCTTTCAAGTTAAAGTATTTGAATTCTGAAACCTCTAAGGAAAATGGATTCTTTGGGAAGGTGTATCTCATATATACTATGGTTTCTCATATATTTTCACATATACTATATGCTCTACTTTCCCAGGGTAATAGAGCCCTCAGTTGGAGAAACTATTAAAAAAGAAAAAAAAAATTTTTGAAAAAATACTGAATGACACAGAAAAATGGTCACTATATAATATTAAGTGAAAAGCAGTAAGAAATCTCTATGGCTTATTTCTGGTACCAAGGATGGCAGAAGATGCAACCGAGTAGCTTTCTTACTGCAATAATTCTTTTAAAAAGCTGGATTAACTGAAAAAAATGTATTCATAAAGACAGTGAAAGTCATGGAAGCAAATGGGACTAGTGAACTAAACCAGAGAGCTGTTCCAAACAGAGCAGCTTTCGCCTCTGCTTACCTGAGAGCATTTGCTGACTGTGCTAGGGCTCAAGACTGAGCTCAGCTGTTTAAAAGGAGTATCAACATTTACAGAAAATTAAATCTGCAAAACTTCTGAAGGTTGTGTGGGGTTGGTGAAAAAGTCTGATATAAACACGAAGTGACTATTCTCCCAGATGGTTTTATTTTCGGAATCCGGAGTCTGTGTGGGAAGCCAGAATTCCTAAAATGGATACCACCGTCCTCTGTAGTCTTTAGAGTATTTCGGGTTTGCGGAAGGGGTCTGTCTCAAACGACAAATCTCAGCCTCCACATGTTGGGGGGGGCACCGCGAGCGCGACATTTAGCCTTGAGCAACCAAGGTGTGCAAGTGGCTTCAGTTCCCAGCGGAGAGCAGGTGGACCTTGGGCAGATGGACCTCACCTCCGATCTGCAGGGGAAGGAAGCTCTGGGAGTGGGTGTCGCCCCATGGAATGGGGCTTCACCCGGTCGGAAACCCAATCCCTCATTTGGGTGGAACTTTCTCCAGTGTCTTCCCCTCAATAAACAGGGCTTCAGGCGTGCTCTCTCTCTTCCCAACAGACCCTCAGGGCTGACAGCTGTCCCCGGTTCCTGCAGGCGAAAGGTATCTACCTCAGTGTGTTGCTCGTGCTTCTTTGGCCCTTTCCATAGTTACCGATGGAGTCAGATTTTGCGAACCCAGCATAGGTCGCCATCCCAGCAGGCTGGCAATATCAACAATTTGCCAAAATTTGGGCAGTGTGAAACCTGTGGAGAGCAAAGGTTAGAGCAGGAAAAAAAAAAAAAAATCCGACTGAATCTTCACCTGTCTTTCTGGGAGACACGGACCTGTAGGCTCATGAGCAAAAACCGTGACCTCCTCTCCTTGAGGCATACAGGGCAGAGGTGGACCGGGCCCAACCCAGTCCCAACCTGGCTCAATTCCTGACTGACTGGGGCGAGCAGCCCCCTCAATCCATACATCTGAGAGAGGAAAAGCTGTGACCTCTTTTTAGAGTAACGCTGACCTCAGGCTCTACAGTTCTTTATGTGTAATGTCTAGTATACAATAAAAAATATGAGATTTATCTCTTTCTCTCCCTTTCTCAAACAATTTAGCTTAAATAATTCAGTACCAAGTAAGACTCTGAGTGAAGTAGGTGTCTCCTTGGCAGTATAACCGGAATACCACAAGAAGAAAAATAGAGAATAAAGCAGAAGAAATATTTGAATGGCATCATTTTCCCAAATTCAGGGAGCTCAGAGTACACTAAGCAGGATAAATACCATTATACAGGGAAGAGGGTAATGGTCACTAAATGAAACCTACATTTTGTCAGTAATAAAATATCAATACCAGTAGACAGCAATAAATTACACACAGGAATACCAAGATGAATCACTAAAAAAACTGCACAAGGACATATAATAACAAACTTATTGATAAATTAACACTTAGCTGAATTCGTCAATGCAGCTGTCTGACTTTCAAGGCTTTAAATTACAAGTTTAATTTCTTAAACAGACACCGGAATGCTCACATTTTCTATTTTTTTGGTCAGTTGGATGGAGTCAGACTATCTAAGAATTTGTCCATTTCATCTTAAGTTGTCGAAGACTTAAAGTTGTTCAGAACATTACTGTCTTTCTACTATCTAGGGTACACAGTGAAAACTCCTAATTAAAAATTTCTACTATCGTAATTTTTTTTCTAATTCTTCCCCAAAGTCAATCATCTTTATTAATATTTTCAAGAACCAGTTTTTGGCTTTGTTGAGTGTTTTCATTTTCTCTCCAGATGTCACGGTGGCAGTTTGCCCTGTGAGAACTCAATTATCTAATATGTTCCAAAATTGTTGTTTTTTAATTTGTTCAACTTTTGCTTCTGTGGAAAAAGAAGCTGGAACCAGAAGCCCCCAGTTTATAATGTAATTGTCTTAGATATTTTCAGTACATACATTGAGCACCAAATCAGAAGATGATTTAATTTCTGATTCAAGTCAATATGTAATTTTAAAAAATATAAGAGGAAAGGATAGCAGATTATATTTGTCCCTATTTTAAGTTTTTGTTTCTTCTTCATATTCCAAGTCTTTTGTTATCACTTCCTTCCTATATGAAGTTTTTCAGCCCTTCTTTTTGAATAGTTCTGCTGGCAACAAATTCTCTTCTCAGTTTTCACTCAATTAAGAACATCATAACTTGGAACAATACTTTAACAATATTTTCACTGGATTTAGAATTAAGAATTGACAGCTTTTCTTTTAGTAATCCACTTCCTTTTGGATTCCACAAAAAAATCTGCTATCATTTGAATCTTTGCCCCCCAATAGATATATATTCCTTCCCTTTATAGTTGCTCTCAATGTGCTTTCCCCCCTCCCCTCTTTCATCCTCTAAAGTTAGATTCTGATGTGTCTTAGTATGGGTTTTTTCAGGTTTATCTGTCTAGTGTTCGCTCAGTTTCCTGAATCTGTAGGTTTATGCCTTTCACCAAGTCTGAGGCATGCTCGGCCATTATTTCTTTGAACATTTTTTGCAGCTCCACACTCTCTTCTCCTGAGACTCAAATGAGAAGAAAGTTAGGTCTTCTGAGTCGTCCACAGTCCTGGGGTCTGTGTTGATTTCTTTACCATCTTCTTTCTATTGTTCAAATTAGGTAATTTCTATTGATCTGTCTTTAAGTTCACTGATCCTTTTCTTTTTTATTCCCATCTAGTATTGAAATCACTCAGTGAACTTTTATTTCAGCTATTGTTCTTGATCTATAATTTCAACCTAGTTCATTTTTATATCTCCTATTCTTTGACCAAGATTTTCCATTTTTTTTTTCAAGAATGGTTACAGACATATTTTTCTGATGACTAATCTAAAATCCTCATCAGATATTTTTTTTCTTCTCATCAGATAATTTTAACATCTAACTCATCTCAGTGTTTGGTGTAGATTAACCGCCTTTCTGCATTTATGTTGGTTGTGATTTTCCTGGTTTTTGGCATGATAAGTGATCTTCAAGTTAGAATACATGATTACAGTCTGAGTCCTATTTCAATCTCCTATTTTAGCAGGCTTCCCCATTTGGGTTTCTTAGTTGTAGTTCCAATAATTTCATTTTCAAAGCTCTTACAGCATTTTTCTGGTCTGCTTTGTTTGTGTGCTACCTACAGGCCATTGTGAAAACCTGGGCAGTATTCCATGCTGCAGTTCTCAAAGCTTCTGTTATGTTAATTCTGGTGAGTGTAATGTGTTTACAGAGCCCCTCTCTTCAGCTCCCTTCTCTCTGAAGTCCTCCCCTCTGGTAAGCTCTGTTGGAAAGGGGAAAGTACTGCCTCTCACTGCCTTTATTTCCAGGTGGGAAGAGAACAGACATCTAAGCTCACCACAAAGCCTCGGGTGACACCACCCTACTGGGAAAAGGGGACAGTTTTGTTATCCACCTAGGGCACATTATGGCTTCCCTTCAAACATGAGGGTTGGCACAGTTTTTACCCCATGGCATGTGGCTGGGGAAGGAATGAAAAAAGCTCTGTTGGATTGCCCTTTTCCCTGTCCTTTGGCCAGAGAGTAGAAGCTCTTCTTGTCTATGGCCTATTGGCATTTTTGGACTGTGAACTTCTCCAGAGCCCAATCTAGACTATCTAAGAAACCAAAAAGATAACCCAAAGAAATCACCAGCTCCTCAGTTTTGAGACCCCAGTCATCTGCCCTCTTCTACCCTTCAGTCTTTTTATGTTTACTAGAGTTTTACCTGTACTTGTTTGGAAATAAGGGGGAAGTGAGTCTTATCTCGAACTCAAGACCCTTACCTTAGCATTAAAGGAACTGTTAATAATCTTTTAAGTACAGGCTTTCAGGGCATAAAGAAGAAATATTTCCCTTCTGGTTTTAAGAAACTAATACAACTGATAGCAAAACCTTTTAGGACTACTACAAGAAAAGAAAATTACAAATTAATATTCCTTACAAATACAAATGCAAAAAGTCTAAATATCACACTGAATCCAGAAAGCAGGATTTATTTCCAGAAAGCAAGGCTAAGTTTAATGACTATAAATGAATCAATCCTGGTATTCTACTTCTTTTTGTCAGCTTTTGGTTACTGTGACTAAAATACCTGGCAAAAATAACTTTGAAGAGGAATCTTATTTTGATTCATAGTCTCATTCCTCAGAAGGCCAACTTCATTGCCCTGGGCCAACATTAAAGTCAAAGGGCATGAGGGAGAAGCGCTGGTAAGTTCATGGCAACCAGGAAGAAGGGAAGGAGAGAGGGAGAGGGAGAGGTCCCTCAGAGAAGAGAGGAGAGGAGAGGAGGGGAGGGGAGGGGAGGGGGGGGAGGGAGGGAGGGAGGGAGGGGGAGAGAGAGAGAGAGAGAGAGAGTGTGTGTGTGTGTATGTATGTGTGTCCCTCAGAGAAGATGACCCCTCCTTGGCACATTTCCAGTGACCTGACCCACCTCCTCCAGCCACACCCCACCTATCTACAGTTACCACCCAGTCATTTAAACCAGGAAGGATTGATTATGTTATAGTTCTCACAATCCAATGATTTTCCTTTGAACATTCCTGCATTAACAAAGGAGCTTATGGGGGACGCCTCATATCCAAACCACAATGTTACTTAATGGTAAAAAACTGAACACTTTCTTTATAAGATCAGCAGTAAGACAAGGATATTTGCTATCATTACTTGTATGAAACACTAGTAGAGGTTTTAGCTAGTGCATAAACAAGAAAATTAAAAAAAATAAAAAGGATATGCATTGAAAGGAAGATATAAAATTATCTCTACTTGCAGATGAAATAATCTTGTATGTAGAAAATGTTAATTCACTGGCAAACTATCAGAACTAATAAAAGCATTCAAGAAGAATGCAGGATACAAGATCAATAAAGAAAAATTAATTGTATTTTACACACTAACAATGAAGAATCAGAAAAGGAAATTTTAAAAAGTTCATTTACAGTAGCATCAAAGAGAATAAAATATTTAGCAATAAATTTAACAAATGAAGTGTAAGATTTGTATATTGAAAAACATCATTAAAAGAAATTAAGACCTAAGTAAACAGAAAGACATTTTATGTTCATGTATTTTTCCCCACCCCCAGTACTGGGGACTGAACCCACTAAGTTACATCTCTAGCCCTTTTTACTTTTTTAATTTGAGACTAAGTTGCCCAGGCTGGTCTCAAACTTGCAATCCTCCTGCCTCAGTTTTCCAAATTGCTGAAATTGCATGTGTGTGGCACTGGGCCTGGCCTGTTCATAGAATTAATATTTTAAGATAGCACTACTCCCTAAATTAATCTACAGAGGCACTGGGCTCAGTGGTGCACACCTGTAATTCCAGTGACTCGGGAGGCTAAGGCAAGAGGATCGCAAGTTCAAAGCTGGCCTCAGCAATTCAGTGAGGCCCTAAGCAACTTAGTGAGACCCCTTCTCTAAACAAAAATAATAAATAAGTAAAAGGGAAGGGGATGTGATTAGCGGTTAAGTGTCCCTGGGTTCAATCTTTAACAGCAAAAACAAAAAAAAAAGAGAGAATCAATGTAATCCTCATGAAAATCAAGGTTGCCCCCCCCTCTGAAAAACAACAACAAAACCAAACAAA